CCAACGGTCCATATCACATCCCAACACACTGCCACTCTTACGTAAACATCCCTCCAAATGCGGAGTGGCATCACACACGAGGCACCTAACAAGCCAGGCCCAGATCACGCAGACACCCTTCCACCGAATAGCAATAAGTTGGTAAACACGAGGGTGGAAACGCACAACCGCCGCGACCTCGCACGCTGTCGATGGTGTTTATGCGATTCCACCCCCAGCTTATCGCCTCCTCCCTCTTCCGAGCCCCTAAACCCAGCAGAACCCTAACCCCACAGCCCCTCGCCGCCGCCGCCGCCGCCGCGCGCCGCCGCTCCCTCACCGCGACCCTCTCTTTCTCCTCCTCCTCCTCCATGGCCGGGGCAGCACCCTCGGAGGAAGCGCTCCGCCGGGCGCTGGCGGAGAGGCAGACGGCAGTGGACGCGCAGGCCGAGGCCGTGCGGTCACTCAAGGCCTCCGGTGCCAAGGAGGGCGTCGACGCGGCGGTCGAGGCGCTGAAGATCGAGGCTGGCGCGGCCGCGCGCAGGCTGCAAGCCGCCGTCGGGTCCGGCGGCGGCGCCGCGCGGGAGGAGATGCGGCAGACAGTGGTGAACACCCTCGAGCGGAAGCTCTTCTACATACCTTCGTTCAAGATCTACCGCGGCGTCGCTGGCCTGTACGACTACGGGCCGCCCGGGTGTGCGGTCAAGTCCAACGTCCTGGCCTTCTGGAGGCAGGTGAGTGAGGCCGCCAGCCCATCTCGGAATGGTGTGATTTATTTTTCATACTTGTATCCTAGTCGTTGTTGCGTAGCTGCTGCGATTTGATGTAGGGGTATTTGGGTAGCGATGATTTACCACTTGCACTGTGGTTTATGTGGAATTTGGATATGGAATCTGGATATACTGAACAAGGAAGATAGTTACCCATGTTTCAGTAAAGAATCTAGATATGGAAACTTATAAGTGCACACCTCTAAAGGCGATTAAACAAGCTTTTTTTAGTTTTTACATATCACTTGCATTTTCTGCCACTGCAGTACTCGAATTACAATATGGCAGTTTATTTATAACGAAGATTCCTGATGTCAGTTCATTAGTACTAGTTGGCAAATATGGATTTTGTCAGCTCATTAGTACTAGTTGGCAAATATGGTTTTTGTCAGTTCATTTCTATGCCTGATATTGGTGGAGATCAGGGTTCAATTTGCTAGCTTGTATTGGTACGGTTCTGTTTCTCTCTAAATTCTGTGCTTGATGTTGGTTGGGTTTAGATAGTAATATATTTTATGACACCATCTCGTGCCATTTGTTTTGGGAAGATGCTAATTTCTCCATTCCTTTTCCAGCATTTTGTTCTGGAGGAGAATATGTTGGAGGTTGACTGCCCCTGTGTGACACCTGAGGTTGTCTTAAAGGCATCAGGGCATGTCGAGAAGTTCACCGACCTCATGGTTAAGGATGAGAAGACAGGCACATGCTATCGTGCTGATCACCTGTTGAAAGATTTTTGCAAGGACAAGCTTGAGAAGGATCTCACCTTATCCCCTGAGACGGCTGCCGAGTTTAAGCGCGTCCTTGCTGTGTTAGATGACCTCTCAACAGAGGAACTCGGTGCAAAGATCAAGGAATATGGCATTGTTGCCCCTGATACAAAGAACCCACTCTCTGCTCCCTACCCATTCAATCTTATGTTCCAGACATCAATTGGCCCAACAGGTCTTAGCGTGGGGTAAGAAGATTACCAGTCACCACATTAATCATGTTTTTTGTGCTGAATTGACCAAACATGCTCATTTTGTGTGTGTACAAACAGGTATATGAGGCCAGAGACTGCACAGGGTATTTTTGTCAACTTCAAGGACTTGTACTACTACAATGGCCAAAAGCTTCCCTTTGCAGCAGCTCAAATTGGTCAAGCATTCCGCAACGAGGTCTGTGTTGTGTCACACCATGCTTTTAGCTTTCATTGGAATGTCCATTTCACTTGTTAATTCTTTGCATGTTTGCAACGGTATTATACTTCACCAACAGATTATTCTTCATATGATGATTCAGCACATAGTGTTTGCTTCCTGAATTTAATCAAATGTTCAATCTAGACTTCTTTTTTCATGGAATTGATGATTCTGTTGACTTAGACTACCTCTGTTTTTATTTAAAATATTTATGCAACATGATTTTTAATGAATGATGGGTGTTCTTCATGTGGCAACAATACTGCTAAACCTATACTTTTTTATATAGAGAATGTATGGTGCTGTTGTTTAAACTACTCTGCTTCTGTTTTTGTTAAAAATGTTTTGCAACATGATTTTTGAATGAATGGTTGATGATCTTCATGCTGTGAAAAGAAGATGAACGGTAAATCTAGACTTTTTATACACAGAATGTATTATGCTGTTGTTAAATTACCCACTTCCGCAACATGATTTTGAATGAGTGATCTACCTATTTAAAATAAGATGCAACCTTCTCCATTTACATCACACTTCATATGATTGATTTGAATACCTGCATGAACAATGTGATTTAAGATATGTGCTGTTATTTCATCATTCCATTTGTATAGAACCTTCATTGCGTTCAGACTTGAATGCTTGGGAGAAATTTAGACCTGCTAACATACATGGTTAAACATACATTTGTCATGCACTATAATGTTAATAAACATTCGAAGAGTGGAAAATTCGCTTGCAGTAGTAATATATATATATATATATATATATATATATATATATATATAGGACAAATGTTTCTTACAAGCAGTGGTAGTTACCACCACTTGCGTTTTGTATGTTGTATGTAGTATCTGTCGAAATCGAGAGTATGTACGTGTAGTATGTAGTATATAACAATGGTTAAGTAGTATATATACTAATTTTTAGGTAGTATGTACCATGTTTTGAGTGCTCTTTTTTACGTACAAATATGTACGTATTTCACAAATATAACAAAAACTATGGGCTCATATGCAATTTTTCCATGTAACTTGCTTTGAAATATCTTAGATATATTATATGAACATATTTAAAATAATAAAATAGTATATATAGTACCACATGGTAGTATATGAGATATGTGGGGTAACTACCACCGGGTGGTAGGATGGATTTTCCCTATATATATATATATATACCCTATATATATTTTTCCTACTACCGGGTGTAGTTACTCCCACTTTTGTTTGATACGTTCTAGGTAGTATCTATCATATTGGAGAGTATGTATGCGTAGTATGTAGTATATAAGAATGTTTAGGTAGTATATATACTACTTTTTTGGTAGTATGTATCATATTTTATGCATACTCTATTTCGCGTACAAATATGCACGTATTTCACAAATACAATAAAACCATGAGCTCACTTGCAATTTTTTCATATAACTCACTTTGGAGTATCTTAGATGTAGTATATGAACATACTAAAAATAATAAAGTAGAGTATATACTACCACATGGTAGTATATGAGAAATGGGTGTAGCTACACCCGGTAGTAGGATGCATTTTCCCTATATATATATATATATATATATCCTTTTCATCCACTCACTACTTTCTACTTATTTGACAATCAGATCTCTCCACGTCAAGGTCTTCTACGAGTGCGTGAATTCACATTGGCCGAGATTGAGCACTTCGTAGATCCTGAGGATAAGTCACATCCCAAGTTTGTTGATGTTGCTGATTTGGAGTTCTTGATGTTTCCGAGAGAGCTGCAGCTCTCAGGGGAGTCAGCCAAGTTAACGAAGCTTGCAGAAGCAGTTTTGAAGGTTTGAACTTGATGTCTATCTTATCTTTTGTTGAGTTACTTGTTTTTCTTCTTCTTCTGTTTGGATTAGAGGCAGTTGAGTTAGTCACTTTTCATCTTGTTCCACTTTGGATTAGAGGTGGTTCGCTTCTATTTCTAGAACTTATAATATGTTTCTTCCTTACAGGGAACTGTTAATAATGAGACACTTGGTTACTTTATTGGAAGGGTCTATCTTTTCCTGACACGTTTGGGAATTGATAAGAGCCGATTGCGCTTCAGACAGCATCTACCTAATGAGATGGCTCATTATGCTGCTGACTGCTGGGATGCAGAGATTGAGTGTTCTTATGGATGGATAGAGTGTGTGGGCATTGCAGATAGATCTGCATATGATTTAAAAGCTCATTCTGTAAGTTACATCACATCCGATGAATAATTTTGCAGTTACTGATTTTAGTCCTTTGGACATGTTGCAATTTAAATGGAAGTCACTCCTTTCGTCTCGATTGTGTTCTTGAGTGTGCAACTAATGTTCATCATGCTTTCCTGATTGGTGTATCATAGGAGAAAAGTGGCGTTCCACTTGTTGCTCATGAAAAGTTTTCAAAGCCTAGAGAAGTTGAGGTGAGTTATCTATCAGCTTTGATTCTTCAGTATTTTTGGAGTCACTAATAATGTAGTACTATTGAATAATGTGTGCTACTAGTTATGTTTTATTTTTGCTCTTGAAGTATATTACAAGTTCCATCATCAAGAAGCATTCTTTGATGACATTATTAGTCTTTGTCCTGTAATGCATAATCAATTAGGTCTACCATTAATATATCTGAATTTCCTTGCTGCTACAGAAACTTTTTATCGTGCCCTCAAAGAAAGACCTAGGGCTTGCTTTCAAGGGCAATCAGAAGATGGTGGTTGAAGCATTGGAGGTAACACATCTTGTGCTCTGTCTACAATTTCTTAGGCAAGTTTTATCATGTCTACCAAAGTAGAAACTTTCATCGTTGACTTTATTCTTGGACAAACAGGCTATGAGTGAGAAGGAAGCAATGGACATGAAGACTGCATTGGAATCTAAGGGGGAGACGAACTTCCAAGTTTGCACACTTGGAAAGGACGTGGTGATTACAAAGAAAATGGTATCGATCAGTATGGAGAAGAAGCTGGAGCACCAGCGAGTCTTCACCCCTTCAGTTGTTGAGCCCTCATTTGGCATAGGGAGGATAATCTATTGTCTGTTTGAGCATTCCTTCTACACAAGACCTAGCAAATCAGAAGAGGAGCAGCTGAATGTCTTCCGGTTCCCTCCTATCGTGGCTCCTATCAAGTGCACTGTGTTCCCGCTGGTAAAGAATCAAGAGTTTGATGGTGCCGCCAAAGTGCTTGCTAAAGAATTAACAGCTGCAGGCATCTCACACATTATTGACACGACTGGTACGTACCATATTGAGCAGGAAAATAGTTTCTCGACCATTACCTTTATTAATAAAAAATAAAGAAACTTAAAAAGCATTGTTTGTCATCCCGTGATTTATATCGTGGAATTTAATGATGGAAGATGATGTGGCTGAGTAGTTATGTACACTGGGACATGTCCAAATCACCATTGTACATAACACCGAGGCTTACTAACTGCACATGCTCATATTATTATTTGCTTCTGAAGGCATTTCTATCGGGAGGAGGTACGCAAGAACGGACGAGATAGGTGTTCCTTTTGCAGTAACGGTTGATTCTGCAACAGAGGTGACGATCCGAGAGAGGGACAGCAAACAGCAGGTGAGGGTGGGCATCGACGAGGTGGCATCCGTGGTGAAGGAGCTGACAGAAGGCCAAAGCACCTGGACCGATATTTCATTCAAGTATCCCAGTCATATTGGCCCCCAAGGTGACCAGGAGTGAGTTGTGTGGCTACAGTCTGCACCGTCCCCGTCCAGATCACCAAAACGTCGTTCATCTTCCAGTTGCCCGGTTCATACCGGTCTGCTGTTGATGGCAGCTCTGCATGCTGCATTGCTGCAGACGCCCGTTGTCATGATCTTACCTATACATTTTGAGAATGTTTTAGCATACACATACAATGGAATTGACATCAACTACCATACATTTTGAGTCTTAAGGAGTACGTAAGTTGTAATGAAGCTATTGAATTTTCAATCTTTAGCCTACGTGGCATCTCTTGTGGACAGTCAAAGATTTTTCTCGGCACCCCTGTGTTGGAAGTCTTGTAATGTGGCTCCGGGTCTCCCACGCATTCTCCTCCACTACCTTTGACGCCTGTTTAACACGGCCTGGTACGCGGATATCGCCATTGCCTCCCGAGCAGTTTAGGTGAGGATGGACCCCGCGGCCCAGCCACTGCTCGCCACGGCGGAGCACGACCACGAGGCTGACGGGCGCATCACCGTCGTGCCCGGGAACGGAAACAAACACGCCGAGGACGAGGACGAAGAAGCGGAGGAGATGTCCACGGCCACGCAGAGCCGGCTGGAGGAGAGCGGCACAGCCTCGGCTGGCGCCGGCGACGAGGCGGACGAAGAGATGGCATCGCGCATGCAGCGCCGCCTGGACGCTCTTCCGGGGAAGCCTCACGAGAGCGAGCCCTTCACCATCTTCCGAGTGGCGGGGCCCATGCGCGACCGCAACCGCCACCTCTACGAGCCGCAGATGGTCTCCGTCGGCCCCTTCCACCGGGGCGCTGCCCGCCTCCGCGCCATGGAGGAGCACAAGTGGCGCTACCTCCGCGACCTCCTCGCGCGGGGCCACGCGCCGCTCGCGTCCTACGCCCGCGCCGCGCGGGCCCTCGAGCCCGCTGCGCGCCGCCGCTACGCCGAGCCCACCGATGACCTCCTCACGCCGCGGGACTTCGCCGAGATGCTGCTCCTCGACGGCTGTTTCATCGTCGAGTTCTTCCTCAAGGGCGAGGACGGCGCCGCCGACGCGCTCATCGACGCCGCCTGGGCCATGCATAACGTCTACAGCGACCTCTTCCTCCTCGAGAACCAGCTCCCCTTCTTCGTCCTCGAGCGCTTCTACGCCATCGCCACCGGCGGCCGAGGCCGCGACCACCTCGTCACCAGCCTCCTCGCCAAGTACCTCACAGTCGAGACCCCGCAGGACGCCGCCACGGCGAGGCCCCCCGACGGCGAGATCCTACACCTGCTGCACCTCTACTACCACTGGTTCCTCCCACCACAAGACGAGGACGCCGCCGTCCCTCCCGCCGGCGGCGACAGCAACAAGATCGCCGAGGAGGAGGAGGCGTTCAACGAGTGGCTGGCCAAGCCCATGGACGAGCGCTTGCCGTGGGTGCTCCCCTCAGCGTCGGAGCTGGAGGACGCCGGCGTCACGTTCCGGGCCAAGAAGTCCCCCCGGAGCCTCGTCGACGTGACGTTCCGCGCCCGCGACGGCGTGCTCGAGATCCCGGCCGTGGAGAGCTACACGAACCGCGCCATGTTCGCGAACCTCCTAGCGTACGAGCAGAGTCGGGGCCGGTGGGAGCTGCAGCGGCTGATGAGCTACGTGGTGCTCATGGCGTCGGTGGCGTCCCACGGGCGGCGCGACGTGGAGATCCTGCAGCGGGCCGGGGTGTTCGTCAAGGGGGACGAGGAGACGGCGGCGTTCTACGCGCACCTGGGCGAGCTCTGCGGCGGTGCCGCCGCCGGCACGCCGGGCGTCGCCAACAACTGCTACGCCGACATGTTCCGCGACGTGAGGGGATACTGCGGCCGCAGCTGGAACCGGCACCGCGCCGTGCTCGCTCACGACTACTTCAGCAACCCGTGGACGAGCATGTCAGCCGCCGCCGCTGTGCTCCTGCTCATCCTCACCGTCGTGCAGACTGTGTACACCGTGCTGCCGTACTACCACCAATAGGCATCGATCCATCATCCTGCGTTAAATTTCATGCATGCACCGAGTTGTTACAATCTTATATACTCCCTCCGTTTTTATTTTCTTTGCATATTAAATTTGACTAAAGTCAAACTTTATAAAATTTATAAAAAATATGATGACATTACAATAACAAATTTATATGATGTGAAAGTATATTCAATAATCAATCCAATGATATTGATTTGTTATTGTATTCCCTCCGTTTTCATTTACTCCATATATTAGCTTTGGTTAAAGTTAAGCTCTATAAAATTTGATAAAGTTTAGGAAAAAATATTAACATATACTCCCTCTCACTTTTGTAAGTCTTTTTGACAACTGAAAGTGGGCTGCTTTGCGCGCTGTTTGAAATATCTTCAACGTCTTATGAAAATGAATAGAGGAAGTATTCATGCTGTTATTTTTATAAACTTACTCACTTCAGTCAAATCTAATATACAGACTAAATAAAAATAAAGGAAGTATATGTTAATATTTTTGTCTATAAACTTTGTTAAAGTTTATAAAGTTTGATTTTGACCAAAATTAATATGTGAAGCAAATAAAAGCGGATGGATTAAGTAATAAACGTTCGTGATATTATAGACGCCTGTTAGTTTGAGCCGCTTCTCCTGCATCAGGCTGATGATCAGAAGCAATACCTTCATGTTTATACATATACATGGAGTGTTTGTACTATGAATCATGTACGACGGGGCGGGAGCCCGGACCGATCCCAAACCCTCGTCCGATCGCCCTGGCCCATAAAAAAAAACCTATCATTCTCATGCGTTATCGGTCAGCATTGCTTCAGAGCGTCAGCGTCCGCATTCATGCCTGGCTAGAGTGGTCAAGACCGCTCACTAGTGCCGGCATTGAAGCGACGCGTCAGCCGAGCATCGCCCGCACTGCTTCCGGTGCAGGCGACTGCCTCACATTCAAACACCTATTCGTCCATCTGTCGCCCACATTGATGATACACGGTTGCCGAGGCGTCTCCTCTGATGCCACCCGTCCGTCCCTCTGCCGCCCATCATTGCTATATAAACCGCTGTCGCAGTCATTTACCTCCGATCGCTCTCCGCACCACTCCCACCATGGATCCCTGCCCCGCCAAAGTTCTCTCGGACGGACTGGCGTAGGACCAGAAGAAGGAGATGGTCGCCATTGCTGCCGGCTGTCTGGCTGGCAGGGAGTCGGAGGACGACTATGTCCCAATGGAGGACGCTGATGACGATAAACTTCCGCCTCCCTCCTCCTCCTCCGCACCACCCTCTCCCGTGCATTGCACCATGACCATCGGTGAGGCCCGTGCCCATTACATGGACATGATGCGAGGAGCAGTTTCGGGATGCGCAAGCCAATGCCGCCTACAACAACCACCTCCTGCAGGAGTACGTGCAGGCGGAGGAGCAGCTCACCACCGGCAGGGCTGTCATGCCTGACGCGGACCTGGCGAAGCAGGAGGCGCTGCTCGAGTCCTACCTGACGGTGTCCTGGACTAGGGGGTACTAACCTAGTCGGCCCATAGTCTTGGGGCTGGGCTGGTGGGCCCTCATTCCCATTAAGATGGACTCCGGAAGCTACACGCCTGGATGTGATCAAGATTGTGCGTGCCGAAGACTTGACGTATACTCCAAGATATCTCCTACCGCCTCCATACGATCCTCTGGATACCGACCATGTAACCCTAGATGCCCTACCTGGTGTGTATATAAGCCAAGGAGTTTAGCCCGTAGAGGGGAGGGAATCACAATCTCATTCACCCATCCCTAGAGGTAGAACACAATTTACGATCTCGAGGTAGATCAACTCTGTACTTGATACATCTCCATCAATATAAACAAGAGCAGGACGCAGGATTTTACCTCCATCAAGATGGCACGAACCTGGGTAAACTCGTCTCCCCCTGTTCCTGTTACCACCAATCCGAGATCCACAGCTTGGGACCCCCTACCCCGAGGTCTGTCAGATTTCACACTGACACTGGTGCTTTCATTGAGAATTCCGCCGTGTGATCACCAGAAGGATTGATGGCTCATTTGCAGATCAACTGCAGCACCTGCCAAGGGAACGTTTATGTCCCCGGCCAAATTTTTGTGTTCGGTAGCATGATCTTTTGCGCTGACTCGGCAGGCCATTTGGCTTTCATCGAGAACTATGCCTCGGGTCAGATCATAACTTTTGGAGGCATGGAATACACCGCGGACTCCCACGACGAGCTTGTCCTATCAGGATGGACGCCCGACTGGGTTGAAGGTGTATCAGACATCAGAGGCTCGACTCCGGAAACGATCTCCTTCGGGGACATCATACTAGGCTCCCTGGCCCCACCGAAGGAACCTAACATAATGACCCCGAGCAACCTCGCTTTGCCACCAAGCCCGGATGCTAGTCCGACCCCCATCTAGGAAGTCACATCAGGTTTAGAATCGACCCTAGTGCAGGATCTGGAGTTGGCTTCAAATCCTCACCGCGCTAAAAACATGTTGAATTATATGCCGGGCGTACTTCGAGTTAGCCTCGCCTATAGCCAGGCCATGAACCCCGAGGAGTTGTGTCAGCTGCATGAGATGCTCGATCGCATCCAGCTTATCAATCTTGGATGGCAAGACCTCGATTTACGATAAGATCGGACTTAAAGTTGATGATCAGGAAAGTTATGTCCCACCCACCACCCATCTAGCGTTCGACGACTTAACTGACGTGCTAGACTACGACGAGGCCACTAACATGGATGAAGATGTCGATGGCCCTACGAAAAACACCCCGCCGTTGATAAACACCACCAAGTGGACCGCAACATATACTTACGATGTGTACATGGTCGACATCACTAGAAACCCCTCTAGACGTTGACATAGACGTGGACAGGGCACCAGCAGGGACCTCAGCGGGAACAATGCCACCGCCGATAACAGCGACACGGCAACTGACGAGACTGACCACCCACGGGAGGATCTTCAAGCTTCCACAGAACGTCACGCCAGCCCCAAAGGAATCCCCGAGAACCTGTACCCTGGCGACCTCTTTGAAGGGGCTGACGACAATTACATGCCGGAATTCGAGAAAGACAAGAGCCTCGGTACCGAGGACTTCATAGTCCCTGAAAACCCTGTTGAGCAAGAACGCTTCCAGCGACGCCTTGTCGCTACCGCCTGAAGCATGAAGCAGAAGCAGCAACAACTACAGGCCAACGAAGATGCACCAAATGACAAGTGTGTCGAAATACTCTCGGCCAAACAAGATCTCGAAGAACGACATCATAGCGCGCCCAAATCTTATCCACGCAGGCGTCTACTGCCTGAGTTTAATGATGAATTAGCCGCCAATGTGGCCGACCGACCTCCCAGAGGGTTCAACATGCCAGTGCGGGAAAATTTCCACACCCAACCAGCTCCACGCCGTCACGACATCCTAGCATTGCAACCATGATGATGTACCTAGCCAGGGCATCAAGTTCATCCAGTCTCTTTTCGATAGTCGTAGTTTTCTCTTCCACATTCTTGACAACTGCAAGTTCTTCCTGCTGCTCTTGGAGGCCATTGTTGATAAATCGAATACGGTTGTACCGATCAAACACCCTCAATTTGAGGTCCTCAATGTCATCTTGTTGCTCTGGCAGAGCATTCTTGACAGTTTCAAGTACATTTTGCTGCTTTAGAAGGATATTGTTGACATATTCGAGTTGATCTGCACATCTGGCAGGAGGCGCTTCACAAATTCATGTTCTTGTTGCTGCTTTGCCAGGGCCTTCTTGACAGTTTCAAGTTCTAGCTGATGCCATGCTAGGTCCTTCTTCATAGCATCTAGTTTGTCATACTGGTTTGTCACGTCTTGCTCGACTGCTACTGGTTCTTCCTGCTGCATTGCCAGTGGACTGATAACTGGTTCAGATTGTTGTTTCTCAGGCAAATGACCTGCAGTAAGGCCACAATTTGAGTGTCCTAACCCTACAGAAAAAATACATGCAGGTTACATCATATGAGAGAATTCCAAAAGCTATAGATGCATTTGCCGCAATATATAGCTACATGGGTGAACAAAGGTCAAAACTAAGGAAGTGTTTACACAAAAGAGTTGGCCTACTCACCAGGTGAACTCGCTTTCGCTTTGATTTGCTTGAGCTGGGTAATACATATGCATTCAGAGATATGAGATGTTTGAACTCTTGAAGCAGCACATGTAGAGCCTTAGTCACCGATTCTAGTTGATGACAATAATATCCCTGCCATACATTAGATTGCAGTGCATGATGTCTACTATGCAACTTTATTCTTGTAGACTCGTGTTGGGCCTCCAAGCGCAGAGTTTTGTAGGACAACAACAATTTTCCCTCAAGTGGATGACCTAAGGTTTATCAATCCGTGGGAGGCATAGGATGAAGATGGTCTCTCTCAAACAACCATCCAACCAAATTACAAAGAGTCTCTTGTGTCCCCAACACACCCAATACAATGGAAAATTGTATAGGTGCACTAGTTCGACGAAGAGATGATAATAAAAGTGTAGTATGGATGGTAGAAATATATTTTTATAAACTGAATAATTAAAAACAACAAGGTAGCAAGTAACAAAAGTGAGCACAAACGGTATTGCAATGCTTGAAAATGAGGCCTAGGGTCCGTACTTTCACTAGTGCAATCTCTCAACAATGCTAATATAATTGGATCATATAACCATTCCTCAAAGTGCGATGAAGAATGACTCCAAAGTTCTTATCTAGCGGAGAACATAAGAAGAAATTGTTTGTAGCTCTACTTTCCGATCAATCTATCCAAGAGTTCTTACTAAAATAACACCAAGTTATTCTTTCTGATCGATCTATAAAGAGTTCGTACTAAAATAACACCAAGTTATTCTTTCCGATCGATCTATCAAGAGTTCATACTGAAATAACACCAAAGAAAATTTAGATTCATAATACTCAATCCAACACAAAGAATCTCAAAGAGTGCCCTAAGATTTCTACCGGAGAAAGTAGGATGAATACATGCATC